CGCGGACTCAGAGGACGGCCAGGAAAGCCGTCTGTCTAATGTGACCAAAGGGCCACAAAGGGGGAGGGCTGAACGTGTGACTTAGGAACAGCGATTCTAAAAACGACTTGACGATTGGTGCTTGGCTGATAGAATATGCTTATCGTCATTAATCATTTTGTGTTTTGCCACAGGCTGTCTAATAAACCTCTTGGACCCTTCTTGTGAAAAAAAAATAAAATAAAAATAAAAACGACTTGAGCAGATTTGGAAAAGAACCAAATGGAATTTCGAGAAATTGATGGAACAGTAATTGTGAAACCTGGCGCGGTCCCCTGGCAAGCAACCTGGCGTCGCCTGGCGCGTGTGAGGAGGAGCCAGGGGTTCCCCTCCCGCCCTTCTCGGACGCTCAGGCCGTGCGCACCGGAGGGCTGTGCCAGCCTGCTTCTGGGAGCACGTGTATAACAAAAACAAACAAAAAAGACAAACACGACACAACTTTTTTTTAAAGGAAAGAACTTCTTCACAGACAGAGATGTGGGGTCCTGAGAGGAGCTGGCCCGTCAGGTGGTGAGCTCCCCGTCCCCGGCTCCTTGTGAGGACGCTGTGCTGTGAGGTCTGTTTGCCGGAGGTGCTAGGAGCTGTCTGGTCACAGGCTCCTGTCTGATTTCTCTCCTCGTCTCCCAGGCGATCTGACTCATGTCCCCGGGACGTGGAAGGCATCCAAGTCGTGTGGCTGTCTGGTCTGCAGAGCGAGGTGGCCACGGAGAGCTTCGCCGCCCTTCTCCTGCCCGCGTTGCAGGGCCCTCCCCGCTCTGTGCTTAATAACGGGAAGAACAGCCCCAGCAGACGGCTGCCATGGGGACCGGGGACAGTTTTGTGGACAAGAAAGTTCTATGGAAATGTGAAGACAGGACGACCCGGGGGAGCAGGGTGGGCGCTGTTCTAAGGGCTTCCTCCTACCATCCCAAAAACTTCTCACCACAACCCACAACACCAAGCGCCCCTGGGATCTCTCCCCACTTTACAGAGGGGTAGACTGAGGTGCGGAGAGGCGAGGAGCAGCCTCCTCATGGAGTCCCGGGGCCTTGACAGTCCCATTGGGCAGCCGGGTCATGCCGGCCACTCCTGATGTGCGGTCCGTGCGTCCCAGGCGCGTCCCCTGCTCTCTGATGCTCTCCTCTCAGAGACGGTGGGCAGGAGTGGGGGTGCCCTGGCCACGGCCTTCAGTGGGGGCTGGCAGACACTGGGGTTCAAATGCCAGCGCCAGCTCTGGGCTGTGGGATTCTGGACCAGCTGCCGCGCCTCCTGCCCACGAGGGTGGAGGTGTTGGGTGTCCCCACCCATCGGGACGGCCGTTTCCCTTGACCGGTGGTGCCTGGTGACGAAGCTTCCTCAGACACCACAGGGATCGTCTCCAAGACAAGTCAGCGCCTGGCCCACACAGCAGCTTCCCCTATCCCCGCGGAGCCGGCCTCGCGGGCACCCACAGCCGGTGTGGAAACCGGGGTCTGCAACCTGAACTCCGCGGGGCTGGAGGACTGTGGTGCGTTAATTACGTTCCAAAATTTTCCATTTGTCTCCCGCCTGGCGCTCCGGTCCCGGGTGCGTGTGTGTGTGTGTGTGTGTGTGTGTGAGCCC